TTTAGTTTTTGGTTCAATTGTTGTAGACATAGTTTTATAACATACTCTATATATAGCTGCAGCAGCTTGAGTACTTCCTGAAAATTCTAAATTTTTTGTCTTAATTGTTAAAACTAAAGTATCTAAAATATTTGGATCAAATAATCCTACTGARAAATTGGGATAACAATTAAAGTAAATTGGACCATTAGATATATTAGTTTCAGCTATTGCTAATATTGAATTTTTGAAATTTGTATGCCTAGCATCTCTTAAGATTAACAAGAAAGGAGCATCTACGCCTAACCTAAAGAGTGGCTTAATTGCTACTTGAACTAATCCAATATGTAAATATTTATATTTTTTCCTATGTTGGATTATAACAGTTTTTGAGAATAGTTGAGAATAGATGAACACACACACACACACACACACACACACATCGGGTATATTTCTTTTACAACCTTGTGTATTTGTACAACCCAATTAATTGAGATATTTATAGAAATGATAGGAGTTCATTTATTTTGATTTGAATATTTATGAAATATGAATAGAGTTCATTAATTTTGATTAATACTTTATTTTAGGAAACAATCAAAACTTCTATGAAATCACATATTATCAAATTAAATGGACGGTTGAGATTGAGTTGTATTGGTTGTACAAATGTAAGAGGTTGTATAATAACCAACCTCTACATATATATATATATATATATATATATATATAGAGAGAGAGAGAGAGAGAGAGAGAGAGAAAGAGAGAGAGACTTGGGATCACGTGAGACTAGCCTATTTTCGTGAGACCCGTGAGACCAGCTTTTTACACTTGAAACTTCACAGCAAAACGTTGTGAAGGTAACCTTCACAACGTTTTTGCTGTGAAGGTTCGACTTTTTTAAACCTTCACAATGTTTTTGCTGTGAAGTTTCAAGTGTAAAAATATGGTCTCACGGGTCTCACGAAAACAGTCGGGTCTCACGTGAACCCAACCCTATATATATATATATATATATATATATATATATATATGGACATGTTCTTTTGTTAACCCAATAATTGGTGACTACATATATGTCGAAGATAAATCATCCAAATTTCTTATCATATTAAAATAACAAGTCGTCTATAATTTGGAAAAAAAATAAACATATTATTTTAACTGTAATCATAGGATTGATGTTTTTGTAACCGCTCATTAATGAATATGAAGTTAAGACACAAAAAAAGAAGATTAGCATTGTGTCCTCAACATTAATCGTATAGTGATAGAATAACCTAATCTAACAAAAGCTTGTGATTGGTCTAAATAGTTTGTATAGTTAATATATTTTTCATGGTTAACAAATGATCTTAGCGCGCGCGTGCTCTCTCTCTCTCTCTCTCTCTCTATATATATATAAAATTGTAGGTTTTATAAATTTCAGACTTCTCTTTCTAATGAGAAATTGCATTATTGATCCACATTTGCACGAATACTCCTAGAAACATTAATGAATCACCAGCATGTAGACTCCGACCAAATAAATGGGTGATGATCACTTGGAAGCGACGCGTAACATATAACAAAACAGATAAAAAAACGAGTTAATATATATAGTTGAACGAAGTAGAGACAAAATATTTATGTTTTCGATCGGCAACATTGGATACCAAGTGTCTATATATAACACACCAAAAGTTTCAAAGGGAAATATGATTAGCAGACAACTTGTTAAAGGGAGGAAATATTTGTCATAAAATCCAATCATTTTCATACCACAAAGCAAGGCCCCATTTCTATACTCAAACTTGTGCACATTTAGAAACCTTACATTCTCAAAATGAAGATTACATCCCCTTTTCTATTACTAATGTTCCTCCTCCTCCTCCTCCTCCCATCATTCCAAAATGCAGTTTATGCAACTAAATCAGGTATCATTTTCCTCTCTTATTTTTGACTTTTAAAGTCAAATTGATAGAATATATATATATATATATATATATATATATATATATATATATATAATATAGTGTAAATTTGCAATTCAAATAGCCTTCTCTTGATAGGATTGTAAAT